TTGATCTCCTGACCTTGTGATCCGCCCATCTGGGCCTCCCAAAGTGTTGGGATTACAGGCTTGAGCCACCGCGCCCGGCCGATATTTTTCTATAGATTATTTGTAAATGGAGTCTGTTGTCAGCAAAAGGTTCTTATTCACTTTGACATTGGACAGGTTCCACAATAAGTCAGTTGGCATCTTTTGCTTTAGATAAATTAATATGTTATAGTTCCTATGAGATAACTATAGGCCATAATTGGTTGGAGTTTTTTGTTTATTTAGTGGACTTGCAAATAACGAGGTATAAGCATGTTACTTAAAAGATCCTGGATTTAAATATTAGTTCACACATGCTACTTGCTATGTATGTGTCTTTGGCTCTTTCTGAGCCTCAGTTCCTTCCCTTTGAAAAGAGGAATGATGGCTGGGCACAGTGGCTCACGACTGTAATCTCAGCATTTTGGGAGGCCGAGGCAGGCAGATCACCTGAGGTCAGGAGTTCAAGACCACCCTGACCAACATGGCAAAACCCTGTCTCTACTAAAAATACAAAATTAGCCAGGCATAGTGGTGCACACCTGTAATCCTAGCTACTTTGGGAGGCTGAGGCAGGAGTATTGCCTGAACCCGGCAGGCGGAGTTTGCGGTGAGCTGAGATCGTGCCACTGAGCTCCAGCCTGGGCGACAGAGTGACACTCCATCTGAAAAAAGAAAAAAAAAAAAAAGGAATGATACTACCTGTTAGGATTATTGGGGAATTACATGAGATGATTTGAAAAGTGCCATTTAAAGTATATAGCATTATATAAATATATTTTCTCTTTTGTAGACTTTAACAAATAGTTTATTGATGAAAGTTTTCTTTAAAAACCTTTTAAGTTACACATTTTAAGTTCCTGCTACTGAAAGCAGGATTAACTGCTTGTCTGTAGAATAATAGTAATCTTTTAATTTTGTCTCCTCCTTAGCTCATTACTTCAAGGACTTATTGTAAATAAGCTATTTAAGATCTTAAGAAATACTGTATTTTTTTAAATGGAAGACTATCTAAGAAAAACATAAACAGCCTAAGCATGTACATTAAAGCTTTGTTGACTTATAAGATTATTCAAAATATGTTAATCTTGGAATTATATTGTTTACTTTAGGCAGCAGAACTTGCTGAATTCACTGCCAAGATTGCACTTCTAGAAGAAGCCAAGAAGAAAAAGGAAGAGGAAGCTACTGAATGGCAACACAAAGTAATCATTTGTTCATTTACTAGCTTTTATTGAATAGCTTTTGTACCCAGGATTATGCTGACTTTATAGAGATGAATATAAGTTACTGTCATAATTTAGAGTGGGAAAAATACTTGTGTATGTGTATTGTAAATATTTATCTACGGATATAAACCAAGTACTTTGGGAACACAGAAGAGGTGATTAATTTCTGTGGGGTCCAGAGAGTTGTTGGGAGACCCATATACATTTAAGCCGGGTCTTGAATAATGAATTAAATTTTGGGGGTACGAAAGATTGGGACGTAAGATTGGGAATAGTTAGAGACTGAAGAGGTGGTCATTCCAGACAGAGGGAACTGAATGACTATAGGAAGTATGAATGTATGTAATAGATTTGAGGATAACCAATAAGCAGCCGAAGCTTCGTGTTGTTCAGAAATGTTGGAAGATGTGGCCCTCAAGTTAGATAATAGGGAATTGTGAAGGGCTTTAAATAAATGCTCTGCTACAGCAAGGCAGTGGGAGTATCGATTGACTTGGGGCTTAGAAGATTTCAAAACAGGATTGTAACATGATCAGATATGATTTTCTAAAAACCATGTAGTGATCAGTGTGAAGAAAGGATTGGGATAGTGGATACTTAAGAGATAAAGACCCAAACTGAGGATGTGGAAATGAGAATAAAGAGGAATGGGAAGAGATAAGAGACATTTTGTGGTAGACACAAAAGGGCGTGGCAACCAGTGATTGGATATGAAGTTGAATTATTTTTATTTTTTTAGAGACATGGTCTTACTCTGTGTCCCAGGCTGGAGTGCAGTGGCACAATCATAATTCATTGCAGCCTTGAACTCCTGGGCTCAAGGGCTCCTCCCCTCTCAGCCTCTGCAGTAGCTGAGACTACAGGCATGCACCATCATTTTTATTTTTGTTGAGAATGGAGGTCTTGCGATGTAGCCCAGGTTGGTCTCGAACTGCTGGCCTCAAGCAGCCTTCCCCTCTCAGCCCCCAAAGTGCTAGGATTATAGGTGTAAGCCACTGTGTGCAGCTGGTACTGAGATTTCTAATATGAGTCCTAAGTAGATGAAACCACTATTGTCTAAAGTAGCACACAATTGTAAAATCAGGCTTTGATTGGAGGGATGGGGGACTATAAGATAATGAGAGTTTAATTCCAATGACAGTAACTCTTAAATGAAAAGATAATTTTTTTACACCCAAAGATGATATTTAGTTTTAGAAGATGATTTTTCTACAATAAAATGTACTTATACAGAAAACAGTTTTCTTTTACTCTTAAGTAAATCTTAAGGTTTCTTTTACTCTTAAGTAAATTTTAAGTAAGTAGCAGTTTAAATTTCATTGGGAAATTTTAGATGTATTGAAAATTAGTTGTATATAAATAAAACTACAAAAGGAATTCCACTGTTAATTTCCCAGTTACTCTACTTTGTTATTAGAATTGTTTAGATCCCTTTTAGGGATGATTTGTGAAATTTAGAGACACGTAAACTTTTAAAAAATCAGCGTATTACAGATATCAAGTCTGTGAATTATAGAAAATTAGAAAATGCACACAAAAGACAATTGTATTCCCATAAACTAGGGGCAGTACTGCAAAACCTTAGTACATATCCTTCCAGGATACTTCCTGTTTATATATTCAATGTGAAATCTTACTGTATGTACTATTTCATTTTAGTGTATTTTCATCTCATAGAATATTAGGCTATATTCAGAATTTCCCAAAAAGTCTCATAGCTAATTTGCCAGACAAGTGTTCAGAGGACTTTGCATTGTCTCTATTTGCTGTAAGTCTCTTTTAATGGAGGGCAGTTTCTCTTTGTATTATTTTGATTTATTGAAGGGACCTACAGAATGTCCCAGCTCCTGTATTTGTTTAGTTCTTTCCTTGTGTCATTGACCTTATCGTTTAACTCCAGTATTTCCTGTGAACCAGAAGTTAGATCTAGAACCTGGGGAATTCAAATTAAATGTTTTTGACTACAGTGCATCAGAGGTGAGAATTCCATATAATTTAACATCTAAACTGGAGCACTTGAGAAAAAGGGGATATTGTTCATAATTATACCAGGACAACAGTGTAACAGGACTTTTCCAGGTAAACCAAGATAATATGATCACCCAAATAATTGGTGATGTTAGATATTTCAGATTGTATCATATCAGAAGACAGTATCTAGTTAACTCACCATTAGTATTTGTTAGTGATCATTGGATTTGAGTAACGACAGTCTCATTCCTCTATTTTTCGGTTACATTTTCCGCTTGTGGCTCAAATAAAATCTATTCGGCATAGGATTCTTCGGCATTATACGAATATCCATTTCTCATCAGCTATTTGCACAACAATTTTAGCAAACAGTTGATAATCCTTGCCAGAATTAGTACTTATTTTTTTTGCATGTATGCTTGTTTTTCTTTTAACCTGTCACTGACTTGAAGCTTGCAGAATTAGTAATTCTAATGGGATTTGCATAATCTTTTGATTTTGTCCTTTACCTGTTGGCATTCTTTTATGAAAATAGAGCTTTCATAAATAGGGCTTATTTCATTACCTCGAAATGTAGTTTCTGTTAAAAAAGCAGTATAACTTGATTGTTTTAATTACTAATTTTTGAACTAAGTTGCTCATAAACGTATTTTTAATGTTCAGGCTTTTGCAGCCCAGGAAGACTTGGAAAAGACCAAAGAAGAGTTGAAAACTGTGATGTCTGCCCCCCCTCCACCTCCACCACCACCAGTCATTCCTCCAACAGAAAACGAACATGATGAACATGATGAGAATAATGCTGAGGCTAGTGCTGAATTATCAAATGAAGGGGTAATGAACCATAGAAGCGAGGAAGAACGTGTAACAGAAACACAGAAAAATGAGCGTGTTAAGAAGCAACTTCAGGTATTTAAAATTTGCAGTTGTATGCACATTTGAAATATAGTTTGCATTTTCCCCATCTTAGACCAACTTAGTTAAAAAGAACATAGAAGTTTTAATACTGACTGGCCTTGTGATTGGTTTGTGGGTATTTGGCCTATAGTCGTTATTTCATTTCTTCCGTTGTGTGAACCCATTAGCAAATACCTGTTAGCTTTGAATAAACAGACCTTAGTGAGTTATTTAATTACAACTTGACCCATTTTAAAAGGTATAAAGTATTCTAATGTTGTGTTGAAAAACAAATGAATTTAGTTTTTAATCAGTAATATGTACATTGAGGGCCAGGCACAGTGGCTGGGATTACACCTATAATCCCACACTCTGGGAGGCCGAGGCAGGTGGATCGCTTGAGGCCAGGAGTTCAAGACCAGCCTGGCCAACATGGTGAAACTCTGCCTCTACCAAAAATACAAAAATTAGCTGGGTATGGTGGTATGAGCCTGTAATCCCAGCTACTTGGGAGGCTGAGGCATCAGAATTGCTTGAACCTGGGAGGTGGAGGTTGCAGTGAGCCGAGATCATGACACTGCGCTCCAGCCTGGATGATAGAAGTGACTCTGTCTCAAAAAAATAAAATAAAATAAAATGGACATTGGAAAGAATGATAGTTAATATACTATGTTTAAGACATTGCATAATCTTAATTATTTGTTCAGATTTTATATTGGCAAAAGGTCAGTATATTACATGGACATAACTAGGTCAAAGTAGAGGATTTTAATATTATGAGAGCTTTCTTTTTTCACAGTAAGTTATCTAATATTTTAATTGTTGAAATCTTTAAATATTAAAATAAGGTGATAGTTAGAATAAATATATTAAGACTTTTGGAGAACGCTTCCCTTGAGGTATAGATTTTAAATCTCATAGTAATATTAGTCTATAGTGGCTGCATTGAACTTTTTAGCCATTTCAAATATTAGATGAGGAAGTTAAGGACATTTAGAATAATGTACAAAATACCATGGTTGATAAATGTGGAAATGAAAGGCCATGTGTATTCTTCCCTTACCACTGCCACCACTATTACCAAAGCAAACTTAAACACTAAAGAAAAAGGTTTCACAGTGGAAATGATTTGGTATATGTATTTATGCATCTTAAAGCCATTTTCATAAATTTTTTTAAATCTCAGAAAATAATTGTTGTACTTTTAATTTTTTAAATATAGGCATTAAGTTCAGAATTAGCCCAAGCCAGAGATGAAACCAAGAAAACACAAAATGATGTTCTTCATGCTGAGAATGTTAAAGCAGGCCGTGATAAGTACAAGACTCTGCGACAGATTCGACAAGGCAATACAAAGCAGCGTATCGATGAGTTTGAAGCAATGTGAGAGCTGTTATTTTGCATATATGTTCTTCATAAGCTGAACCACCAACAGAGAAAAGCAGGCCTTTGCAGATATGATGGAATGCATCCCACCTTGCCAAAGCACTTACACCGGTTTGACTGTGCTAGCTAAAAGACAGATTTAAGGGGAGCTCTTCAGCATTAAGGCAGTATGATATCATGCTTGGTTTTCTTTTTCTTTTGGTCCAGGGAATGGAGAATGGTGTTCCATTGCCTCCTTTCACATTTTTTTTCTTTTTTTTTTCTGTTGAAGATTAACACTAATTATCATGTCTGACAAATGTGTATGTGTGGTTTCAGTTCTGTGTACATTTTAAAGGATAATGTTGATGAACATTTTATGGGTTTCCCTTGTCCCTTCCATATTTAACCTGTGTGTATTTCCACATTCTCTCTCACATTTTCTCAGTGTGCCCGTCTCTTATCTGCCATGTCCATAGCCATAATCCCACCATCATACAGATCAGGCAGTGTTTAAAATGATGGTAGGTAGCACAGTGGACAGTCTTTGATCATTATGTAGAATAAGGCTATGAATCATGAAAGAGATTAGAACATTTAATAATGTATGTACAGCTGGTGGTTAGTTTTTTAAAATCCAAATTTAATTGCCTTATTGGATATTTGATATTTGGTTATTTAATCACAGTCATCTTTAACAGCTTACATTGATTGGTGTTTTATCTCCTCTAATCCTTTGATGGCTTTTTCTGCCTACCATTTCACAGAGGTTTAGACAGCAGTAGTAGCTCCCTAGGAGAGTTTACTGATGAAACAGCCTCTGCAAGATTTTAAAAGTTTTGTTCTTTTATAGACTGATTTAGAAAAACAGACGATTGGTAAAAAAAGAAAATATACATTTGTCAGTAACTGATTTTAATTATTTTTTAAAACCTGGACCTTTCTGGAAGGGCAGCATATAAAAACATCAGTCCCGAGGAGGGGACAACAGTACTACCTCACTGCTACACCTGCGATGACTGGTTGTTCAAACACAATGGGGTGTGTAAGCTATATGTTTTATAATTCATGATGACAGCCTTGATCATCAAGAAATACTTTTGAAATTTCATTTTCCCTCAGAATATCTTAGAGTGCTAAATTTTTAACTGCCTTTTTGTTAAGTCAAACTGTGGGATTCTGATTTATATTAAAATTGTAAGCTCCTCACTGGTATACTATCATCCTGGAGGGCTGTGGTATGGCTGAGTAAGAGAGAGGGGGAATGAGACAGAGAGAGAGACTCCGTGTGTGTGTGTGTGTGTGTGTGTGTGTGTGTACGTACTCTTGTGTGTATGAGAGAGAGATGCTAGCCTTGTAACATGAAGAATGTCTGTACCTTGATATGATAGTTACATAATCATTATATTTGGCTTCTAGATCACTGTGCTTATTTTTTTTCAATCTCCGACTAAAAATACTTAAATTTTGTTTGTTAATTCTATTTTAGAAATTATAATTTTAGTTTATATTAATTTCAGTTATATCTTACTGAAGAAATCTTTCCAGTCAGAAGGAGGTTCTAATATTCACATGTTCTAATACTTTGTTTATTGTAAAACAGCTAAATTTGGAGATACGTAAAGCCTTGTTTTCTCTGTGTGGTTCAGCTGCTTTCCATTGGGTATTACACAGTCAAATTTACATTTATTAAAATTGCCATTTTATTAAACATTTTCATGCACAGTAGATTCAAGTTGTGTCTGAAAATATCTCTTGTGTTTTTTTGATTTTGCTGACTTTAAAAGGATTAATCTGGGCAGACATTATGAAAAAGAAAGGTTGCGTTTAATATATTTTTTGAACTTTGTAGGACAAAACATAGCTGGTTAACCTTGAAGTGACTGTTGTACCATGGTTGTGCACGTGCTTCAGAATCCTATGGAAGACAATGTTCCTACTTGCAGTACATCAAAGGAATGGATGGTGGACCCTACTATTCATGTTTTGAAACATAAATGTTCACTTTAAAGCAATTGCCATAATAGATAAAAACCTGAACTTTCATTGGATTTTTGTTAATTTTCCTCATTTTGAATTATGTGCACTACCATAGCTACATCAGTTTGATACAGTATTGAAAAATTATCAGTTATATTTTGCTGTTTATGATCTATTTGTAGATTAGGATTAAAATGGATTTAATCCATTTTTAAGGCTGTGTGAATTTTTCTAAACAAGAACCATTTGCAATATGGATTTCATAGAGATTAAACCAATTATAGCTTATCATTAGCAGTCGCGAGCACATGTTCATATAGTCAATGTAAAAATACACTAATGAGTATTTGGTAAATCCCAGTAGGCTTTTACCATTAGCATAATTTTGTGTTGTACAATTAAGTTACATTTACATCTCTAATTTTGGATAATATTCATTGGTTAACAATAAAGTGACAAAAGCTCATGCCTTCAAGGTCCACTGTTGTTATTTAACATGGATTTCTTGTATATTTCTTGAAAATTACAATCTTTATCGGAGCCATGAATCACCACATCTTAAAAGTAAGAAGTAGATAGGAAATAATTTTAAATCCTCATAGATCTACTCTTTCCCCAAAATGATACCTCTTTGGTATGGAAGTAATAGTGATTAATTCTGTGGAAAAGTTAAATTATTAAATTAAACTGACTTTCTTGACAACAAAATGTAATTTAGGTTTTCCAATCATTGCCTTTATTGTATAGTGGTTAGTTTCTTTTGCCTGAGGGAAGATACACTTTTTTGTCATTGATTCATCTCACTATTAACATTTCAACATTCTTTAAAGAACCATATGCTAAGTATATTTATTTAAAGTACAAGTTCTTATTTTGAAGCTATATTATAGAGCAGTTACTATAAATCTAGAACTTGATTGCCTTTTTCAAGTCTTCTAATTTTTTATTTAAATGAGTGATAAATCTATAAAAATAGTAAAAGCTAGATTTTTTTGTTGATAGTAATATTTAACTGTCACTTTTATTTCTGTTCTTAAGGACACATAGTGACTTTTTTACTCTGATCCTGTCAGAAAATGGAATTTTAAATAATATTTTGCTTTATGTCTAGAGTTTTTAAGAGCTAGAATGGCCCCTTATAAAGTTATGTTAGATTTTATTGGCAGTCACTCTTATCATTAGAAGTATTTCAATATTATTGTGGTTTTTTTAAAAAAAATCCCACTATATTCTGTTCCAGGATTGATCACCTTGTTGATTGTTAATGTTTTTAGAAATGAAAAAATTTTTTTAATTCACAGGCATCCCATTTTACATATGCACAATAAAAACAATTAGTCTTAAAAGTTAAAGCTTGAAACTAAAGTCTAAGGGATTACTAACTTTAGCATTAATATACTGAACTAATGACTAAACCAAAGCTTAGATACCATTAGTAAGAATGAGAGAAAACAGTTCAGTGTGGAGCTGTACTGTTAGGTTCCTCTCTGGAGTCTGTTCTAAATGAACAGAACTTTAGCATTTTCTTATTTTTAACCTATCAAATATTCTAATGTGGTCTGTCACATGGAATGACAGTATTGGAGCTCATACAAAAGCTCTTTGGATTCTACAAATGTTTTTGATAACTTTATGAAATGTTCAGGCAGCCTGACTCCCCACAGTCTACACTAGTAACTAGGAAAAACTGGCTCCCTATCATGTTCCATATGTTAAAGCTTACCACATTCTTATCCTTAGCTTTTCCAATTAAATAATTTTAACTCCCAATTTTTCCTTAGTAGTCCTACCTCTTACTGTGTCCATCTATCAAGATTTAAGAACTACCATTTTCCCTGTGGAAAGATCATGGCTGTGTGGTTCAGCTACTTTCCATTTGTGGGTAATAGACACTCAGATTTACATTTATCTGTTAAAATTGCCATTTATCTCCTCATACTTTGACTTCCCTTAACCTCCGTGGTACAAGAGTTTTCTGATTTGGGGTTATATATACTACTTTAGGAGTTGAAGTATTTCTTACACAATTTTTACATTAAAGATCTTGACTAAGGTGATACCCCATGACACATCCTTTGCATTCAGGTTTATGTTTTGGCTGTGGAGATCCCTAGCTACTCAATGGCTCCAGGTTCTTATTTAATGGTCGTCATTTAGCCAATACATTTTTATTAAGTGCTGGCAATATTCAAGGACTTAGAAGCAAGATTAGGATGATTGTGACCCTTTGTTTTGGCCTATATAGGCAACTTCAAATATTAATTTATTTTAGCTCTTAGATCATTTCCATTTATCTATTACAATATCATTTCTTTTAAAATGGCAATGCCATATTGTTGATTCCTGTTATTTGTATGCCCAGATTCCTCCATGTTTATAGCTAGCTAGTTGCTTCTATCAGTGCAAATTATTATTTTTACCACCCTATTCTAATTGTTCTTCACTTTTATTTAATCATTATTTTAAATATTTGGATTCATTTTTATATTTATGCATGCTATTTAGTTTGCTCCTAAAAATAGTGATACTGGTTTTAGTTTTTTATTACTAAATTAGTATAGCCAAATGTCCATCTTCCTACTGGTAATATGCAATCGGAATTTCTGAGATTATTTATGTGACTATTTTTGGAAAAGTTTCTTTTGATAAAACATGGATTTATTATATGAAATTCTTGCACTGTGTTACAATGTGTGCTATGATATCCCTTTTATTTTTTTTCAACTTAAATATGATGTTTTGTATTATTTTAGACCTAGGAATCATGTGTTTTTTAGAATCATAAGGGAATATATATCTCCTCCCTCCCTTTCCTTTTATATATATTGAAAAGTCTATGGAATTCAAGTCTAGCATTTGAATTCTATATGCTCTCATTGCATTTACATAATTATTTACTTTTAAATTTTAGCTGTTTTCATAAAAACAGTTTTGAGATGAAGGAAACTTACACAATAAAAGGAAGATTAATAAGCAGGAAAATTAGTAACTGACAGGGAATATGAATGAATACTCAGTATATGTTTCTCAGGTATGCTTGTTTTCTGATAAATTACTTAATTTTCATTTCATAGGCCAAATTTTAAACACCAGTTAATAAAGTTATTCTAAAAGAGTCTCTAATTTTAAAAGTCTTTCTAACCTAGGAAGACTCATTTTAGACCCAACTGACAAACCAGTCAAATATGAGTAATTGGTAATATCTGTATTAAATATTGAGAAGATTAATAAAGTTAAAAGTTGAATCTTTTTTTATCGTGGTAAAATATACATAAAATTGACCATTTTAACCATTTTCAAGTGTACAGTTCAGTGCCATTAAGTACATTCACGTTGTTGTGTAACCGTCACCACCATCCATCTCCAGGACGTTTTCATCTTCCCAGACTGAATTGTGTACCCATTAAATGATAATCCCCCATTCCTCCCTCCTCCCCAGTCCCTGGTGACCACTGCTCTACTTTCTGTCTCCATAAATTTGATGTTTCTAAGTATCTCATAAAAGTGAACTCATACAATATTTGTCCTTTCGTGTCTGGTTTATTTCACTTAGCATAATGTTTTCAAGGTTCGTTTATGTTGTATGTATCAGAATTTTATTCCTTTTTAAGGCTAAACAATATTCCATTGTACGCATATACCATATTTTATTTATCCATTTGTCTGTTATTGATGGACACTTGAATTACCACTATCATTTGACTACTGTGAATATTGCTGCTTTTTGAAGATTGGTGTACAAATATCTTAGAGTCCCTGCTTTCAGTTCTTTGGGATACATCACACCCAGAAGTGGAATTGTTTGGTCATCTGTTAATTCTGTGTTTAATTTTTTTTTTTTTTGAGATGGAGTTTTGCTCTTGTTGCCCAGGCTGGAGTGCAGTGATGCAATTTTGGCTCACTGCAAGCTTTGCCTCCTGGGTTCAAGAGATTTTCCTGCCTTAGCCTCTTGAGTAGCTGGGATTACAGGCATGCACCACCATGCCTGGCTAATTTTGTATTTTTTTTTTTAGTAAAGATGAGATTTCTCCGTGTTGGTCAGACTGATCTTGAACTCCCAACCTCAGGTGATCTGCCCTCCTTGGCCTCCCAAAGTACTGGAATTACAGGCGTGAGCCACCACACCTGGCCCTGTGTTTAATTTTTTGAGGAATTGTCATAATATTTTCCACAGCAGCAGCACCATTTTACATTCACATAGCAGTGCACAAGGTTCTAATTTTGCCACATCCTCACTAACAATTGTTATTTTCTGGGTTTTTTGTTTGTTTGTTTGCTTATTTGCTTGCTTGCTTGATTTTGATAATAGCCATCCTAATGGCGAAGGAGTACTTCATTGTGGTTTTGACTTGCATTTTCCTTTGATACATTTATCAAATCATAAAAGAAATTAGACGTCTTGTCATGTGTTTATCGACCATTTGTATATCATTTGTGGAGAAATGTCTATTCAAGTTTTGCCCATTTTAAAAATTGCTTAATTTTCTGTTGTAAGAATTCTTTATATTTGGGATTCAAAATATTAATCCATTATCCCAGGATTTGGAATATTAATTCCTTTTCAGGTAGGAGTTCCAAATCTTTTTTCCCATTGTTAATTGCCTTTTCGCCCTTGATATAGTGTAGTTTTCTTTGATGCACAAAAGTTTTTAATTTTGAAGAAGTCCAATTTTGTTGTTGTTGCCTGTGCTTTTGGTGTTTGTGTTTTTTGAAGAGGAAAAATAGTTTTTAATGAAGAAGGTGTTACAGAAAGGCAAAGCAGAAGAGAATACGTATAGTGGTTAGTCTCTAGACTGTGGAAATGAAAGTAAATAGGTAAACAGTGGGCATTGACTGTAGGATGATAAAGCTAGACTGGGTTGGGCCCAGGAATTTATGGAGCCTTGAATCCTATGTTTAGATGGTTTAATTTGATTTGAGGACAACTGGTCGCTTTGGAAAGGCACAGCTACAGAAAGGAACAATAACTAAACCTTGCTTGAAAAAGAAAACTCACGTTGTGATGTAAAGTATACTAGAAAGTGCAGAGGAGATAGCATAATAGAAGAGCTATGTCTATTGTAGTTAGCCTAAGAAAGGCCATGGCCATGGGAATGAATTTAAAGGAAATTCTGATAAAGGAAATGTTTAAGTGTAATTTGCTGTCATGTTTGCTATATTGTTCATGTTTGTGGTAATGTATTTGAACTTACTTTCCAGCTGACCTCTTTCGAGACACTTAAAACCTCAGTTTCTTTTCTTTTATCCATGACTTTTTGGGAATGGGTTCTTTAGTGGCACAAAAGAAGTAGAAATTAAAGACATGCAAGAACAAATGGATTTGGTTCTGGGTTCTAACTCCAAGTCTTATACTCTTGTACTCTAGCTTTTATAACTGATTTTATAGTTCTGAATCAGATTGTCCTTTTTCAGAGCATTTCTCTGGATTCAGATTATGGTCACTTCCATTCTAGATGCATTATCTTC